AAAAAAAAAAAAAAAAAGTATATTTGGAATAATCTGCTCCCTCCAACCCACCCCCACCTTCCCTGAAACAACCCCAGTTCGTTAACTAAAACCTTGGCATTTATAGGTATACAATCACAGCTCCTGCGCCCTCAGCCCTTCCATCCGCCCCAGGGGATCGGGCATCGCGTCGCTTCCCTCCGGCCTCTTCCTGGGGCCTTCCAGGATTCCAGTGTGCGGATCCTGGGCTCTGGCGGCTCCTGCGTCCCCGCGAGTGTCCAGTGCCGGCGTGGGGAAAAGACAGGGGCGCGGGTGCCACCGGCCACTCCTGACTTTCGTTGCTCTCCTGCGCGGCCCACGGAACAGCGGCCCCCTCAGCTTCCCCTCCCACAGCCCTCAAGTCCATCAGCACCCGGAGGCTGCCTCTTCCTGGACACAGTGCAGTCAGGTCTCTTCGGTCCCTCGTAGTCTTCCAGGTCCCCTTCTCGCACCTCCGCAGAAGGCGCGCGCTGCCCGCCCTCTACGCCCTCCCCTCCCAGAACAGACCTTAAGTCAGACCCTCAGGCCAGACTTGGCACCGCTGAGTCAAACAAAGCATAGTAGCGCGGTGAAACTTACGATTCCCTAGGTGGACCAGGAAGGTCCCCAGGCCGAATTCCTGCTCCACGGAGGACCTGACACCTGGGGTCCAGTAGACCCCATCCCTGATCCCTCCTGCCGGGCCATCTGCCCCAGCCCCGGGGAGTGGAAGTTACATAGGTCCTGGGGCAATGGGCAGGGTTTTCCCTGGGGGTTCAGTTGCTTAGGTACGCAGCCCAAGGCGGGTTATAAACTCCTAAGACTACATTATACCTGCATTATACCGTGGATGGTCAACACGCACCACACCGCAAGGAGCAAGTGAAATAAACTTTTGAAGACAGAGTTCAAGGGCGCATGGAACCGTTGAGAACACTCCGACTGCGCTACACTACTGTATTCGCCGGGGTTTCTTTGTTTGGAGACAAGTTCTCACTCCATCGCCCAGGCTGCAGTGCAGTGGCCCCATCTCTGCTCACTGCAATATCCGCCTCCCAGGTTTAAGCAATTCTCCTCCCTCAGCCTCTGGAGTAGCTGGAATGACAGGCGCACATCACCAAGCTTGGCTACTTTTTGTATTTTTAGCAGAGATGAGGTTTCACCATGTTGACCAGGCTGGTCTTGAACTCCTGACCACAGGTGATCTGTGCACCTTGGCCTCCCAAAGTGCTGGGATTACAGGCGTGAACCACCGCGGCTAGCCTGGTTTTTTGTTTGTTTTGTTTTGTTTTTCCCAGACGGAGTTTCGCTCTGTCGCCTAAGCTGGAGGGCAGTGGCTTGACCTCCGCTAACTGCAACCTCCACCTCCTGGGTTCACGTGATTTTCCTGCCTCAGCCTCCCAAGTAGCTGGGATTACAGCACCCGCCACCGCGCTCAGCTAATTTTTTTCCTATTTTCACCATGTTGGCCAGGCTGGTTTTAAACTCCTGACCTCAAGTAATCCGCCCACCTCTGCCTCCCAAAGTGCTAGGATTACATGCGTGAACCACTGCACCCGGGTTTGTTTTTTTTTTTAACCATTTTTGATTCCCACTGGAGATGCTGGCCATGCTTCCACACACCTGTAATTGTATGTGTGATTTTCACTGCCTGGGGAGAAGGGGAGTAGACATGGACCAACCCCACAATCGCACCTCTGAAACAAGAAATGTAGCAGAATGAACTGAACCAGGGTGGTGGTGACTGCAAGACCTGCTCTGGAGGTTGTTTTAAAAATCGGAGGCCAGGCCGGGCGCGGTGGCTCACGCCTGTAATCCCAGCACTTTGGGAGGCCGAGA